TGCAATTAATACCAGCAATAGCACTGAAGGAAATGTTGACCGTTAAAATAATTTAATGTTTAACTGCTGTTCTAGATGGAAAATAAACCAACAGCTATGTATTTTGCTTACATGCCTATAGGACTGATCCTTGTTAATGCTTTTGTGGTTTTTGTAGTTTAGAAATTATAAAAGCAGTAAGGATCCCTCACTTTTGGAGAAGCTTACACTTTCTAAGCGTCCTTATGTTATCTTCTGCTGTGGTTATTAGAAAACATTTTTTTCTGGTTAATATGGTTTTTTTTTTTTTTTTTACTTAAATGGCCCCTTGGATCTTATTTTAACAACGGACATGATTCATCTGAAAACTTTTTCTTTAAGGTCAGGTACTAAATTCTAAACTCTAAAAACTGAGAGATTGTCACTGCACCCAAATCATCTTTAGCATCTCTAGGTGGAAGTGTAATAGCACTAACTTATGCTCCTTTATTTTGCTTGTGTAAACTATGGAATGAACATATGACCAAAATATGGATGCCAGCAATAATTAGTGGGGGTTGTATGTTCTAATGTTCTCAAAATTGCTGTACAATATTGAAAGAGTTGCTTTGTTTGACAGGCATACCGTGTAGGAAGAAATTACAAAACAAAGTATTTTTCTCCCCCTTTGGGAGAATAATTACCACAAATTTACTTTTTCAGGGTGGAAACTTGCTCATCTCTAAGGGGATAGACTACTGAACCATTAGTAAAACAGCTAACAGAGTTTATTATTAGTTTTGAATAAAACAGACAACATTGCAGGCATGCAACTAGAATCAATGCGCAGTTGACTAGTTGACAAAGTAGAATTTTGAAAAATCATCTGGCCAGTATTTGTACTAGATAAGAGGTAAATACTTTGCCACAGCACACTTAAAACATGGTCTATTAAAAAAATAATAAAACATGGTCTAGAACAAAGAGAAAGGAAATAAAACTCTTCCTATATGCAATATTAATGACAGGTTTATGAGAATTTTAGTTGTTCTCCCCGTGAGTACTCAATGGCAAACATTCTGGTTCTAAAAAAGAGTGCTGTGTTAAGTATTATAAGACACAGATAAGTTGAATCAAAGAATGACATTCAGAAGTTGGAGAAGCCCTGTCCACTGACTTAGATAATGACAGTGTAAAGACTGGCTTCATTCAAAGTTACTCAATGGAAGACAACGCTGATGAGATCTCACTGGTGAGCGTCCTATCAGGTCTGCTAAGTGCTAATATGACCTGTAAATGGCACCGTCTTCTGTCAAGGATACATGTCTTCCATGGTAGAAGAAATTGGCCCTGTTTATCCACTTCTGTTTTTACTATTTTACTATTTTTCTTAGATAAAACGACCCTTGACCTACTTCACACCTCTCATGGTCATAGCCTTTTGAGAACTACAGGAGAATATTTTGAGACTACTTGGACAAGTGATGGACATTCTATGGACTGCTGATAACTAGGAGCCGATTTTCCCATATGTATTGCAACTTTTCAGGCTTACCACAAGTGAGTCCCATTCTGTGACAATTGGTAGGACTCAAGACATTCTGTAATGCTACAAATTTCAACCTGTCTGTGTTCAACTAAAGTTTGTGCTTCTGATGTCACTTGTTTGTTCTCAAGACTGCTTTGATTTGTTACCCAACTTTTGCATCAACATGGATGGAACTGGAGGAGATTATGCTAAATGAAATAAGTCAATTATCATATGGTTTCACTTATTTGTGGAACATAAAGAATAGCATGGAGGACATTAGGAGAAGGAAGAGAAAAATGAAGCGGGGGGAATCAGAGGGGGAGATGAACCATGACAGACTATGGACTCCAGGAAACAAATTGAGGGTTTTAGAGCGGAGGGCCTGGGGGGATGGGTTAGCCCAGTGTTGGGTATTAAGGAGGTCACGTACTGCATGGAGCACTGGGTGTTATACACAAACAATGAATCATGGAACACTACATGAAAAACTAATGATGTACTGTATGGTGACTAACATAACATAATAATAACAAAGAAATATTATCAGCATTTCATTAAAAAAATTACCAATGAAAACAAACCTATGACTTCATGTATCAAGAATGGAGACTGTGGAACTTCTGTACTGATAACCACTCTTCTAGAAATCAATTTAACTGTCTTTCTCTCAGGAAATAAGGTCTTACTTGACACTTCTCATACACAGCAGAAGTTGAGGAGAACTACTTCTCCTTTTGCTTCAGGTGAAGAAGTTCAGCCTAGATACCTGTAGGATTGATGGTTTGGTAGAAGTTGCTATATTGTTTTACCTGAACTTATACTGAATTCAGATTGAAGAAAACTGTGAAATATATAATATTTAAAGCAACACATTTTCTTACTCATAAACGTATACAACTACAGGATTTAGGTCATAGTTGCTGGCCTATTCTTTTCAAAAATAAATTTGTATGATTTGTAAATTGTCAAATTTATATGGATGAGTTTTGATAGTGTTCTCTTTGATATTTCAGTATGTTCAATATATATTCTTGATATAGAATTACTTTTCTTTGCCATTCCTTTTATCCTATAATCTAAGGTGAACTTTAGCTCTCCCAGATTATCACTGTTATAGCTTGTTAATTCTGAGTAAATTATGATTTTCATTTCTAAAATTAAATATGGCATCGTCCTAGTTGCAATTGTACAACTTCCACTAGTATTGAATTATCACTGGGACCTAGGGACATAGTTTCTTCTGACATCCAGGGACAATAATGACTTCTACCCAACTTCTACAAGATATTTTGAAGTTTCCACATTAACAGAAATACATTTTTCCAAAGTATGTGAGATAAAATTTCTATTCTAGTCTGACTTCCTCAAATTTGCAAAAAATTATGCTGAGAAATCTGAAATAATGATTGAGAACAATAGGTTGGATTTAGGAATTTGGAACCACTGTTATTTTTAACAGGAGGGAGACTTGTGTGGCAGCTTTGGAAGCTATTACATAAGATAAATGCATTTTGTCATTTCCAGAGGAAAGTAATGATGGTGATGAGAGGAATCTTTTGAAGGAACTAGAATTACTACATAGTAATTGCCTCAATTTATCTAAAATTCTGTCATTCATTAAAAGGAGTAGTCATATAGATATGCATAATTAAAGTGTTAGAATAGTTTTAACGTAGTGGACACTATTCTTTTCAGAAATTAAATGTGAGGTGATATGATGTAATGGCTGGGCTTGTGGCATTTAGACTCATATATAACTTGACTCAATCTGGAAGGCATCATTTACTTGCTTTGTGTCCTTGCCAAAGTTGTTTAACATCATCCATCATTTTATTCTTTCCATCTGTAGGAATGCAAGGGGCACTCAAATTACCGAGATGATGTGAGAATTAAATATAAATATGTATAAGAAGCCCTTGTATAATTCTGGGTGCAAAATGAAATGCTCAAAATTTGCTTAGTAAATATTAGTCATTTTTATTGCAACATGGTGAGTTCTCTGTCACTAGTCCATAAAGCAGCACTGCTTGTCAGACTGTGGTAGAATGTGAATTAATGCAGAACTTTAGATAGATAGTTGTCCTTTAAAGTCCATTCTGTGGGTGGCTGGGTGGCTCAGTCGGTTAAGCATCTGCCTTTGACTCAAGTCATGATCTTAGGGTTCTGGGATCAAGCCCTGGTTTGGGCTCCCTGCTCAGTGGGGAGTCTGTTTCTCTCTCTCCCTCTGCCCTTTCACCCTCTGCTTGCGCTCTCTCTCTTAAATAAATACATAAATAAAATCTTTTTTAAAAAGTCCATTCTGAATCTGAGATATTACATTTATATTAATATAATGTATAATAATTATCTAAAAGTAGGAATATGTGTTTAAAACCATATGGTTACATCAAAGGATGTAATTGTAATATTTCCATTGTGTTCTATTTCCTAAACATTCTATATTGTATTCATTAGCACCAGCCTCTCATATCTTTCTTAAGATAAAGCAAGAGAAGGTGCATAATAAAAGGACATATCTCCAGTAAAATGAGGAAATCGGTGTGGGATCCGGAGTATGGATTGAACACATTTGCCACATAAAATATTAAGTATTCTAAAGCAGAGCTGTTATGCCAGCAGCTGACTTTGAGTCCTTTATCAATCTCTCAGCTCCCTGCATACTTTGATTTGGAGAGTTGGGCTTATCACTTTGTTAGGTTAAGTGCTATATAAAGGAAATCTCAAGACTCTCCATTCCACATAGATCATGTTCTAAGCCCCTTCTCTCTGCATATTCTGGAGATACCTCCAAACTCTATGAGAGCATCAGGAAATAAACTTGAAAAACCTTTTCATTCGGGTTAAGTTAATGACTAAATTCCAATTTCCTTTAGTTTATTAGAGACCTCCCTACCCATAAGGAGGTACAGACTATACTCTCCAATCATCAGCTATAATTCTGTCATATCATCAGTTACTATGGGATGCTGCTCCTTTAGCTGTCCAAAGAATCATACCACAGTTCATATGGATGTACCAGAAAGATTTCAGTGCCTTCATTTCAAGGTTAAGGTTAAACAATTTTCCTAAATCTACAACACTAAGTGATGGTGCATTAAGGTCCACATCAAAGGTTTCTTGATTTGCAATCATCTTCCCTCCACCTCCTCAGGTCCTAAAAACACACACATTACACATGTCAAAACAATTCTGTCTTCAAGGCAGAGATACGAATACTTCTAAAAGGCTCAAACTTTTGTGCACAACACTGCCCAGCACAGAGCTGGCTCACAATAGGGGTCCAATGAAATGTTTCAAATACAATTGGATCAAACCTTTAGAGTATTAAATTAAAATAATCCTTTCAACGAAGGAAATCCAAGTTTCAGAAGAGGCTCTTCATACTGAATCTCTGACCAGCGACTGATGATGCAGTATATCTCTGATGATGATTGGTTCTCAACACTGAGATTACCCAATCCAGGAAGAAAGAAATGAATTCCTTAGTTGGTATTATTTGGGAAGTGGCCAAAGGAGGGTCCCAGTCCTCACTGAGTGAGACTTGCCTGCTCCCCTGTGCCCTGTCCTCTCTGCTCTCCAGCATGGTGTGTCTGTGTTTCCTTGGAGGCTCCTGGATGACAGCTTTGACATTGATACTGATGGTGCTGAGCCCTCCCTTGGCTTGGGCTAGGGACACCCCGCGTAAGTGTGCACCGTGGGTGGTAAGCTATCTTGGGGGGGGGGGTGGGGAGAAAGAAATTAGTTTTGTCACTGTGTCCAGGCCATGTCCCTTAGAAAATTGTGGTATTTTCTTGAATGACCACCCTTGTCATATAGACCCCCAATTCTATCCAAAACAAAAGGAGCCTGAATGCTTGCTCTCTAAAAGAGCTACATAAGGGACCTCCCTATATATAGGCCATTTATTCTCACCTCTCCTCCAATAAAAGTTCTCCAGGCTTGCATCTCATTCCCTCAGGTTCTTGAGAAGACTTAGAAATAATGATTTCAAATTAATTCCCATTAAGTGGTTCTCTTTATTATGTGAGTTATGCTAGAAAATAGGAAAGTTTCTCTGAAAATTTTATGGAGAATCAAAAGGAATTAGAAAGGTCTCTCCTAGAAGACCCTGTGTTATGTCTTCACTGGATCAGTTATGTTGGTGCCTCTTCCTAATACGTGAGGATGTATCAAGAGGTCCCTCCCATTATTTCCTTTCCTTTCTCCTGAGCCCCAAATTTTATAAGGCCTTTATCCCTATACTGGAGGTTCTCTGACAGAAGTTGAGGTTAATTTTATCTCTGTTTCTCACCCTGGAGCTACAGCAGTGATCCTTAGTACTTGAAATGACACTGTCAATAAGAAGAACATGTGGGGTGTTTTTTGGTGTCTTAAAGAGCTTAATATGTCTTCTGAGAACTTGGCACAGGTTAATTTTCATTATGAATCTATGTTGAATGTTTCTATAGTGTCAGTTTCTCCTGCATCTTCCTATTGTCTGGCCTGAACCCACAGGAAGGGGTTCAACTAGTATAGGATAAATTATATGAAATTATGATTTTGTAAGTCAAAAATAGTCAAATATCAGGAATTTCATATGGTTCAAACTATATACCCTGAGTAGGGTACAGAGAGAGTGAAGGTGATTTACATTTCATAAGACTGAAAGCCAATATGTAAAAAGGGAACTTATTGGCTTACTGAGGTCTTGATCTCGAATTACACAGATTTCATTCATCTTTTCTGTTTTCCTTAATTAGCCATGTTTGGTTGCCTCCACTTCCAGTTCCTCAGTATTCTTTCCCAGATGTGTCATCATCATTACTGAGAATCCCCATTGTTTGCAAAGATCCTCAGCACTATCACAGATCTACGAGATGAGCCGAAACTTAATGAAATTTTCCTTTTTTTTCCTTAAAATCACCTTTTCTTTTACCTGTGATATTTTTTAGAACAGTAGGAGAAAGAGGAAGTTTGAATTTCTCACAGGAAGTGGAGGGGATATAATGTAACATAAGAATAAAAGTGTTGAAGCTTAAATCCCTTCTTATTTTCTAGGATCCTCACAGTGACTGATTCCCAGAACCCTGGGTTTATTCATTTAAACCACACATAATTTCTGAGCAGCTCTTTTGTACGGGGCTCTGTCCTAGGCTCAGTGAATTCTATTTGAATAAGATAAAAAAAATCACTACTATCATGGGTGTTATGTACTGGCAGAGTAGAAAGCCCAATAAACATCTAAAAAAGAAAAAAAATTCAGAAAGCAATAAGTGCTCTGAAAAAAATACACCAGGGTTGTGAAATAGAACTGGATTCACCTGACTTCAGTTGGAGCAGCAAGGGAGCTCTCCCTGAGAAAGTGACATTTAGTTGAGACGTGACTGAAGAGAAGAAGCCAGCCATGTGCAGGATCTGAGGGACAAGTGTTCTAGGGAGGGAGAACAGGATGAAGGCCAAAGTGTGGGAAGATGTTTGCTGAGTTTAAGGGACAGAAGGAAGGCTAGAGAGGCGGGAGTGTGGGGAGCTAGGGGAGGAATGCTCTCAGGGTCGCCACTACCATGTTTCCATCACTCGGGGAATGCCCACCATGGCCTCATTGTCGGTGCTCAGTGTTTGGTGGCTGTCAGCGTCCTTTCACTTAGATTTTTATCTCATGAACTTTAACTTGTGTTGAAGTTTGACATGATTTTCTTTCATTAACGGCATGCTAGTTTTCAAAATCTTCATCTGCTAGTTTATGCAAACATGAACATAGCCCAAAGTCTGTGCCAAACCTTTGTTAAAGTTGTTTTATTAATTCTTAGCTTCAAAACAGGCACTAGTAACTGATTCTTTCAGAAACCTGTGGATTTGTAGGCTTCTCTCTGTAAACTGCAACAAGAATAGAATTTAAAAATTGTTTATACTTGCTCTTGATGAGACGAAAATTCCTGGGTCATAAGATTTCAACACAGACGTCATACTGGGGGAAATTCAAAGCCAAAAGCTTTAGTTTTTGCAAGAAGCTCAGAGGAGCAATATGTGGAACAATTGTCCAGGGAAAATGACACTACAGGCTTCTCACAGTCCAGCTTGGCTGTCAGGAACGTGTCACTGATGCAAAGTGGTGATTGAGTCAGTTAGAAAATATATATCTGGTTACCCATATTTTCTTGTTTGACCATAGAGCACAGGTAAAATAGAGCTTTCAGACATCCTGGATTTTAGTTTTTCCAATCACAGCTCACCTTGTTTTGGGTGAGCCTGAAGCATTGACACAGACAAAAACAGTTATCTTTTGGCTGGAATTCTTAGTAGCTTTTGATACTCTCTTATTAGGCACTATGAAAGTTTTTTAAGAATCTGGTACTGAGCTTTTGCAGGCAAAATAAATTTCCTTGGGATAAGGTTTTTACCAGATATGATATTGGCAAATTTTTCGATGTAATACTCAGCTGCTTCATAATTAACAGCAGCTTCTTCACCACATATATTTCAGATGGTATAACAGTGGTTCTTACCCAGGGACAGTTTAGCCACTGCTCCCCGCCCCCAGGGAATATAACAGTGTCTGAAGCCACTTTTTGGTTGTGAAAACTGGGGTTTTATATGACACCTAGTGCGTAGAGGCTAGTGATGTTGGTAGACATCCTACAATACACAGAACAGCCTTCCCACAACAATTATCTTGTCCAAAATGTCAACAGCTGTGGTTATCAATTGTATTGTTTTCTCTTCCATTTCTCATTTTGGGTTTTGAGTCTTCTCTCTCTCTCTTTTTTTTCCCTCTTAGTTAATGTAGTTAAAGCAGTGCCAATTTTATTTTTTTTGGAAAAACTGGTCATTACTTTCAATGTTATGTGATTGTTTCTTCCGGTCTCTATTTTATTTATTTCTGATTTTGTTTTGTTATTTCCTTCCTCTACTAAATTTCTCCCAAGTTTCTTTTTCTAGTTCCCTGTGGTGTAATGTGTTTGTTTGAACTTTTCTTTTCCTTTTTCCTCTTTGTTTTCCTTGACACTGGCTGAAAGAGAACTTCTTATTGCTTTTATATACAGAAAATTCAATAGTGCACGCTTAGTCCAGTTTGGTGGCCAGTTCTTTAGTCTTTGCCTTTTCCAACTTGGCAATGGAACCACCGACTTTGGACCCAGGACATTGCCTCCCCAGGGACGGTGGATCTCACCGTATCTATCATTTGTCCTGATAGCTTCCAACAGCTTAAGAAGAGCTCATTTATCTTCAGAATTAACTTGTATGAAGGCGACAGTGGTGCAGGTTTTCCGGTGGGCCAGAAAACCCAGCCTGGCCTTTCCCTTGATAATGTGGGGGAACCCCCATCTTATGACACAGAGCAGGCAGGAAGACATCAGCTCAGTGGGATCCACATCATGTGCAATCACTACTAGCTAGGCTTCTTGTTTTCCACCAAGGTGGTGACAGTATTAACCCCAGCTCGAATGACAGGAGGCATCTTAGGGGGACATCCCCTTTACTGGCAGCTTTCTTTTTAGCCCGGGCCAACAATCTCTGCTGCTTCTCTTGCTTTGCCTCTGGTCTGTATCTGTGGGCCAGCTTAAGCAGTTGAGTAGCTGTGTGGCCATCCAAGGCTTAGGGGAACTGGTTAATCGTGAGAGGCACTTTTAGACGTTTATAGAGAGTAGCCCTTTGCTGCTGCAGCTGGATGTAGCCAGTGAATTTGACAAAGTGGGTGAGGGCCCTTTATGGTTGGATGTCCTGTCCGTTGCCAAAATTCTTGGGCCTTTCCTCAAACAGGGGATTGACCACCTTGTTGGCCTCCTACTTCTTCACCAGGGTCCAGGGCCACCCCTTAGCCTCCTTTCCTTTCAGCATCTTGGATGGCTGGTGGAGAGAGTTGAACTTTTTTCCCTAATACAAGAATTTATAGAATAAATTTCACTTGTGTTTTCTTTTTCTTTTGTTTTGAGACATATTTTGATTTGGGTTTGATTTCTTATTTGGCCCACTGTGCAGTAGTGCATTGTTTAATATTTACATGTAAATATTAAATATTTACATTGTAGATTTTCCAGCTTTGTTTGTTAGTCTTTAGTTTTGTACCATAGTAGTTGGGAAATATACGGGGTATGATTTCAAACAAACAAACAAAACCCCAAGATGTTAACAGTGCTGAGGTTGAAAACACTGATTTATACTGAGTTGCTTCTCAAAACTCTAGGCTCATACTTTATACACACACTCACCTTCCAATTCAGGTCTTTGTGGTTTATTTTAGCTTGTTTAAATACAGAAAAAATAAACTATAAAGTTGTATACATTCACTAATTTCTTGTAGAGCCCATTCAATCAATGTAAGCCAAGATCTTTATTTTTTACTTTTTGCCTTATGCAATGTTTTTCCATATTTCATGATTTCTGGATCATCACCATCTCTGTTAACTTTCAACAACTTGCCTTTATAGGTCATAAATTGTGACTGCCACAAGTATTTTTCAGTAAAAGATATCAAACTTTTGTGTTAATTCTATATTCTATTTTATTGATAATGTCAAATGCTCCCTTTTATTTGTCTCCCTTTTAAACACAGTGGTATTTTTCCCTATTTTTAAAATTTTTGTGTTAATTATACTTGAACAAAATTTTTTCTGAGTTCAATTAAACATAAAACAGAAATATCAATATATACATACATGTAGGTATATATGTGTGTATGTATATGCATATATATATATATATTATGATGTGTGTATGTTCATATATTGAACTACAGAAGCACATGTGACTGATTGACCAATAAGAGCTCTGACATGGTCTGACCCTTTACCTCATCAGACTAGATTGGCCAAATGGGTTCTGCATCAAAATTCTAAAAAAGATCTGGTTTTCTGAGATTTCTGGATTTGGAAATGTAGGTAAGGATCGAGGAACTATATTGCAATCATGGTTTTCATCTCCTTAAAATTCTTCAGTCGTATCCCATTGAATTTAGTATAAAAGTCAAATGCTACCACCACCCACAGGCTTTTGGTGTGGTCTCCATGTGATGATCGTCTCTAGTCTAAACTTCTTCCTCTCACTGTCTGTGCTTCTGCGAACTGTTTTCTCTGGTCTCTTGAAATTCTTTCAAGCTTTTGCACAGTTACATGACTCTGACCTAAAATGTGCCTCCCTTTCTCCCCCCCCCCCAACACGGACACACACACCCTCCAGTTACATCTAATCTTTCATGTCACATCTCATGTCACCCTTGAGACCACCTCTCTGGGACCCTAAGGTGATTGAGATCATCCGATTGTTCTCTGTTCTAGAACTGCACACTCCTCTTCATTTCTCACCCCCGTATGAAAGTCTTGCCGGGTTGCGTTTTGTGCATCACTTTCCCTCCATTTTAAGCTGTTGCCTTCTCTGGATTCGCAGGGGCGGCAGGGGCCCGCGCCAGCTCAGCCCAAACCGCGTGTTCAGGGGGCAGGGAAGCGGGTGGGACGTGTTTAAGGTCGGGGGTGGGGGCAGGGGGAAGGGCTGGGGGAGGCGCGGAGGAAGGCTGGTGCCTGTCAGGGGGAGGCGGTGAGGGGCAAACGCCCGCGCGGCTCAGGCTGGGAGGCTCGCCGCCGAGCCCGGAACCCAGTGACCCGGGAAGGCTCCCCTGAGACTGGGTCGCCGCCGGCAGAGGAGAAACGAGCCGTGGGCGCTGGTGGTTTGGGGGCGCGGGGGGAGCCACCGAGGGTGCCGCCGTCAGTGTCTTCCAGGAGCCCGCGGGTGACCGGATCGTCTCTGTCCCCACAGCTCATTTCTTGTTGCTGTGTAAGTCCGAGTGTCATTATTCCAACGGGACGGAGCGGGTGCGGTTCCTGGATCGGTATTTCTACAACCGGGAGGAGTTCGTGCGCTTCGACAGCGACGTGGGGGAGTACCGGCCGGTGACGGAGCTGGGGCGGCCGGTCGCTGAGTACTTGAACAGCCGGAAGGACTTCATGGAGGGGAGGCGGGCGGCGGTGGACGCGTTGTGCAGACACAACTACGGGGTGGGTGAGAGCTTCACGGTGCAGCGGCGAGGTGAGCGCGGCAGGGGGGGAGGGGAGCGGGTCGTGGGGGGCTGCATGTGTTTGTCTGTGTGTCTCTGACTGAAACAGACTCGTCCCGTCCGGAGTGAGCGTACAGGGTCTTGGGCAAGTACAACTTACATGGATCCACGTGAGAGTGCGACGTCAGGGACAGTGTGGGCTGTGTG